AAAACAATCCTTTAAAAATAAGACACAATGTTACAAGGACTTCTAATAAGAAATCATTTTGTGTGCGCGTGCGTATGCGTGTGTGTGTGTGCGTGCTGTGTGCGTGCGCGTGTATGTGTGTGCGTGCTGTGTGCGTATGCGTGTATGTGTGTGCGTGTGTGTTTTATAGCAATGATGTAATCTACTCATGTTGTTTCAGCTGCCCTGAGTCTGACTGGCAGAGACTTGGCAACTATTATATCTGCAACTCTGAAGTAAAGGAAAATAATGTCTTTCAAAAAGCTTAATAACAGTAACACAGCTGAAGTTGATGAAGCTTTTACAGCTGTTACAATAGTAATAAAAATACTATAGTTTGGAAATGTTCTTTTTACGCACACATGGTTTCTGTCACGTAAAAAATGGCATTTACGAGCAGGTTTCTCGGTGGGTGAAAAATAGCACTTGCATAACCATTGCGTCCCTGTTGTCAAAGGCATCTCATATGACGTTATGGGTTTCTGGACACAGGTGCTGGACTGGACAAAGTATTGCATATTCTAGAAGCATGTGTACTCCATGTAGCTGTGCCCTTGGACACAGAGGGCGGAGTACAAGTGAGTGTTTATGGCCCAGATGAAATATCGCTGCATTGGCATTTAATGACATATTAGTAAAATGTGTTGCATAAAATGATACACAAACAGAGATTTACCCAAAATGACCCTCCTTCACAAACATTTATCACACGTCATTGGGTATTTGAATGTATAAGAAAAAGTGAGCATATGGAATATACACGTACATGAGGTAATGGGGAAAAAAACAGAATTATTTTATTTTCTTATCATTTCCTATTGTTCAAAGACAAAGTAATGGGACATTTATAAAAGTCAGTTATACATTACTTTAAGCCCAGTAGGATTTTTTTTTCATTCCATGAGAGAAATCATTGTTGTTCCATTGTTGTTCAAATACAGTTGGCTCAAATGTAGATGCACATGACTGCGAGGGAGAAGGGCTGAAAAATCAAACTGTTATTTTCCAGCTCAGAACTACAAACATTCACATCTTCAAAATTGCGTATAGATGTTTTAAGTATTGTTCGAGCCAAAAAGTAATACATGGTTTTGTTTCATTATTTATGTTCATGTATTATTTGTATGACATTGAAAAACGCTGAAATATATTCCCCAACTTTGAGTGGGCTCTCCACACACCTGACTCATACTGTCCTGGAGGACGGACTCTTCCTGTTTGTTTAAATGACTAATTTCTCACATTATGGTAATACACATACTGTAAATAATTCAACAGTGAGTTTTACACAGTACCCCTAAAGTACACAAACATATCGTTAGTTGTGTTTATCTGTACATTGACTGTCGTGAAGAAAAAACCTTTAAAAAAATGTCGATTACTAAAAATAAATAATGTATCGATTAAATTCAAGTATATGAATTCAATAGAAATATATATCTATACTGGCCTTTATATTTATTACAATTCAACTTATATTTAGCAGAATTTGATAATTTGATGTTTATGAGGAACTGTTGTTTTGCAAAAGTATTTGTCTTTACTAGCTTCCGAACACGTGTCAGTGGTGATGTGGCAAGCCATCAACTGTACCAAGTGGTATCTTTTTAATGATCTAGCTGCAAGTTTGTATTTAGTTTCCACATTTTATGCAACCGCGCAACGCCAATAAACCTTTTGACCTTCTAAATTTCGTCTTTTACAATCAAAGTGCTCAAGCTACAGCAGTGGGATGAAAACACCGCACCAAGTCCACGTGGCCACATGTGCGGTGACCGTCGTAGGAGAAGGCTGGATAATTGCAAAGATCCATCAAGACTTCACTTCACTGCATTAACTGGATTCAAAATATAAATAAGAGGAAGATTTGGGACCTGTCATCCTGTAGACCAGTAGCTGGTGCGTATATGTTTACTGAGGTTTCTTTGAACGCAAAAATTATAGTTAAATTATAAGGATTTATTCATTTACTTTTGATTTGTAATTAAATCCATTAGACTTGAGGGAAATTCTTCAGAATCTGTTCCAAACTTGGTTGTGTATCTACAAAAATGAGTGACGGCCCATTTATAAATTTAATTCAACATTTGTAAAAGTCTCAGTAAGAAGTTAGATGACATTTAGAGCAGTTGTATTTTCTCTTTGGCCTGAACACTTAAGCCCAAGGAGCTCAGTAATGATACTAAACTAATCTACTTCTGTAGCTACAGCTGTCCTGAGTCAGATTGATGGAGACTTGGCAGCCATTCTGAATCTAGACTATGCAATCCCCAAACTGCATATAGACTTGTAAAGAGATTTATTTTTTTCTCCAATCAAGAAGCAGTTATAGAAGAAAAAGTGGAGAACATGTTGCAGATTGCAGGAAGTATAGTACAAAGAGGTTCTATGATGACATCACACTATAGACCCCTGTACCGTTGTTTAACAGAGACACATGTGCAGGGAACGAGCTACACCGCAGTTATTTGGAAATTGCAGTTATTTAGCAACAAAGTTAGCTAGAAATGTTGTGAGCCCAACAGTTTATCTTCCAGCGATCGACTGTTACAGTTTATAGGTCTATGGATATACCACAAAATGAACATATAAATAAGATATGTCTGAATGAGAACACACAAGAGATCAAACTTGAGTGACCGGACATACATTATGAATGTATACATACTGTGATAAATCCATGGTTGTGTTTACGTCGGCATGTGCACTAGAGCCATACTGAGCGCGTGGGCTGATAATACATATGAGACCCTTTATACAAATGTTTAAAACCCCAATTTTCCAAACTTTGACTTGTGTTGCACAACACAGTATAAATGTAAATTAAAATATGTTGTTTTTGGCTGTCAATTATTTGTTTTGTCAGCTATGTTAGCTGTTCGTTAACCTGTGAACACGAGATAAGCCATAGTGTGATCTCATCATGTAAACAGGAAGTGAAAATGAAAAATAAATAATAGCAAAAAAATAATGTTTTTTTCTCAAAATGGTGTAAAAAATATCTACACTTGAGCAACATGTCTTCTTGCTGAGACTATGTGTCCATGACAAATGAAACTTTTAACCATCTAATCCTTCTTCCTGCTCAGATGAGTCACTGCCCCACACAAGGTAATACAGCACTTCTCCAGTGACTAATTTAACTTTGAGAGCAGCAGTTATGAGGCGTCAACAGGATAAATATATATGGTAAAAGCGTCTCAGCGGGGCAAATCAGTCACAGCTGATTTAGAAAGCATTCGACATGTTTGGGTCACTGTAACATTGACTTGCAAAATAAGAGCTACTGGTATTTGACTTATGGTAAATATTAAAATAAATGAGATGTACTGTAGTTATGCATTGATTTATTTGAAACTGTTTTGAGCAAAGAATCAATGGAACAGTGAATGCAGTAGATTTATCTCTTTCTGGTTTTCTAATGTTCCTGCAAATACAATCTATACCAGTGTTTAACCTGCATGAGTGGAACAAACCAGCTGGATTTCATCAAAGAAACTGACAACCCAAATTTCCTATTGTTTTTTTAATTTAAGATATATACATATAACATATACTGTACATACTGCCCTTTTAAGAGATATACCTAGACTTCATATTACGTCATATTATAAGCACAACATTGCTCATAACGCTGTTTCACATCAGATATTGCAAGAAACTACCACATATACGCTCATGCATTACTTATTTTGGGTTTATTTTATTATTTTAGGAAGCACTTTTCTCTATAACTGGAGAATCTATAGTTCCACAAAACATTTCATTTTTGTGTGTGAAATCACCTATCAGAAAAAAATGAATCTGTTATGGAATTTCTGTACAGACTGAGAGCATAAACAATGAAAACAACCTGGAGCTCTAATACAATCAAAGTGTGAGTAATAAAGTAGTAAAGAATGTCCACATATAAACATGGGAAAAAGACCCCATCACCCTTACCACATAACAGCGCTCTGAAACTGTCTGACCTGAATGAGGAAACTACTAGACATTAAATATACAAGAGTAGACAAACATACATCTACTCTAGATATAGTAAACAAAGTGTTCTGAGTAGATATGTGTAGCTCAAGAATTTCCTTTCAGCTTTCACACAGATATTGTCAAAAACATATTGCGGAGATAACAGCTGACTTTACTGCCAGCACAAAACAGATTATATGTAACTGAAACAAGAGTTGAGTATTGGTTAATAACTTATGATTCACTTATAAGTAATTAATGTTAATTCAGATTTCTATACAAGTCAGAGTTCTAGAGCAAATACGTACATTCCCCATGTCACGTGGACAGTATAACCTCACACTTGGGATTCCTCGCTGTACACATGGCAATAATAAGCATGAATATAAGAAGTCTTACACTACATACATTTGACAGTCAAAAACAAGAAAACTTGATAGATATATACACATTTTTTATGTTGTTTAAGATGTCTTAGCAATGCTTGCTGTGTAAATTGTGTTTTTATTACACCGACAGTCCCTCGATGACGCAGTTTTTCTGAGTGACTTGTGGAGAATGTTTTGAAGGACAGAAATTGAGGCTGGTACCTGAAGCCCTTGGAATGCCAGTTGTCCGGTCGACGCATGAGGCCGGGGCGTGGAGGAGGAGGCGTCTTAGGTTACAGGCTTCAGTGATGCAGCGTGAATCATGAGAAAGAAGTCTTCCAGTGTGTGTGTGTGTGTGTGTGTGTGTGTGTGTGTGTGTGTGTGTGTGTGTGTGTGTGTGTGTGCGTGCGTGCGTGCGTGCGTGCGTGTGTGTTTGTGTGTCTGTGTGTGTTTGTGAGAGAGAGAGGGGACCAGGACGGGGGTCACAAGTCCAATTTCCTTCCAAGCAGAAAACCAGAGACACTCATTAGATGATGCACTGACTTGAGGCGAGGTTGTGTGGTTTGGGGTGAAAACTTTTGCAGAGGAACAACTTTTTCCAAAGAGAGATTGGTTGAGTTCGAGTTAGGCCAGCACGACACAGAAGCCATGGGAGTATACGATGAACAAGGGTAAGAGTGCTTTCTGTCAAACAAAACAGTGGAAGAGTTCTATATCAGCTGTCAACAAAGCAACAATTTTATCTTTTATTTAGTTAAAGAAGAAATATCATGCATTCTATTTGTACATGAAAAAGGACAAGAAAACTACTTACTTGCTCATTTTATGTTATAGAAAGCAAAAATATATCTTTACTGTATATAGGAGGATTTTCACCTCCCGAGTGGATCATCAAGACTATTGGTTCTCCCAATTGTCAATCATTCTGGTGATACATGCTAGTCAAAGAAGACCAGAGAGTTTTGTTCAAACAGTGGAGAGGGTGGTACTTTCCTAAAATTTGGGATAATCCTCCAGTATACCTTTAAGTAAAAAATATACTGTGAAACAAGCATGAAGGGTAAAAAGGCTTTCTGCCTGTAACTATCTATGCTACCACCAGAGGGAGGAGTAGAATTTGTTTATTCTTTTTTTGTGTGTGTGTGTGTGATTTAGCTTGAGAAATTGCCAAAATTAATTAATGAGCAATGGCAGAACACTGCTTTGGGTGTTACAATGGCAAAACTGTATGCTATTCTACAGGACTAAGACAGAGGCTTTAGGCACAAGGGGCAGAGTTACGTGTTTGTGCCAGACGTTTCTGATATGGGTCTATTTTTTAGGCGGGAACAATGCTGTAACATGGTTAAAAACCTAATAATGTTGCAAAATATGTCCCCATAAATATATAAAGAATACTGAATATCTATGCCAGTTTTACCATGCCATCACTGTATACTTCATATGAATGTATTTAACATTAGAACTCCCAGAGCAGTCAATTTGACGGCTTTTAGTTTTTGAAGTGTATTTACTCAGCATATGTACGTTTTTGGTTTTTCTTAACATTGTGACTTGGTTCATAATATCTGTAATTGTGATTATGGAATCATCTCAATCCTGGACTGGTCCTGGACTGGTTCAGAGCAATCTCAGTTTCTGGTGCTAGTTACCATAGCAACACTCTGTTCACTTGACAGCAGTTACCATTTAGTGTTGATGTATTTTAACCATTTATTTTAGTATGTACTGAAGATAAGAACAGTATGAATTACAATTTTTTGAGGATTACTTTCAGAATTCCCTTCATTTGAATGGGAGATGTCAAAAATACTGCTCTGGGAATTATAGAGGTTTCAGAAATCTGGCAGCCCTATTGGTCGTATGTATTGATTTGCCTGAGTATTACTTGTTTTGTTTTATGTGTGCGCAGAGCTGCCATCCAGGAGCCGGAGCAGCGCCACATGGCCATTAAGCAAGGTTTAATTTCACCAGAGCGGCACAGATCCATGCCCACACCGCGCTCTCCACGTCAGCACCTCAGCAGACTTCCCCCTAAAGATGTCTTCAACAACAGCATGTTTATGGGTGGGTTTATACGTTTTACAGCCGGCCTTGTGGTCTGATTAAAGAGTGCTTTCTATGCAAATGAAAACCTTTCCGCAGATACCGTAAGCTAAAGCGAAGGGCTCAGGGACGAGGTCGTGTAAACACCACCGGCCTTGAAGTCTACATTTTCTATTTACGTGTTTAAGCAATTTTTCAGTATGTGTCCTTGAGTCAAAATGCTGCAGTTGTATTTTCTGTTGTTGTCAAGAACACATAATTATTACAGTATTGCATCCGTGCAAAGTATAAGTGATTAAGTGCAGGGAGGAGTTGTTTTTGCTTTGTTTTAAATATATATTGGATCACAATTTACCAGAGGAACATTTTATTTCAAGCACAGCATTTGTCATAGTTCCTCTGTTCTTCGGGGTCAATAAAGCAGTGTTTCTCAACCTTTTTGAGCCATGGCACACCTTTGACATTGCGGACAATCACATGGCACACTACCAAATGAAACTGGTACAAAATTGAAACTCTACACAATTTATTAAACAAAGCAAAGTCATTCATCAAGGTGTATTATATAGAAAATCAAACAAAGCACAAAAATATCTTTCTACTCATCTCACATTATTTTCTTTTGACATTATTTTGACCAAGCAGATGATATTGGATCGGTTCTAAAGACATACCCACATGCGTGTTCATGATTGATCTTGATATTCCCTGTATTTTTTCTTCATGGGTTTCAGCTTCCAAGTCAGACAACAATTGAGGACCATTGTATTAAATTTTGTTTTGTTTTGGTATCACTACAGCCTCTTTCACATAAAATAAAGTCCTGTGTATTTCTCTAGCAATTTCTTGTGTAGCAGTTAATGTGAATAATAGTTGATTTGAATAGGGCTTATGGCACTTATATATTCAGAAACCCAGGGATAAATACTTATGGCCAATAGGTGTCTGTGCATCTGTCATACAGTATATACAATATACTGACAAATTAATGGTATTATTTTGTTCCTGGAGTGTATTATAGGTTAATAATTAAGCAAAAGTATATGGAAGTGTGCTTTTTATTCTTCCTTTCTGTAATGTGTGATGCAACACTGACATTTCTCCACAGCTGGACAAATAATGGATCTCTTCTCTATTCATGCTGTTACTGTTGTATGCAGTGGGAGGCTGGAGCAGGCAGGACCCTTCATGTCTGGTGGAACAGTTTTGCCCAGAGTACAACGAGTGGAGGGGCGCAGCGCGGATGGTGACCCGGCGGGGCGGCGTGGCTGTGGGCACCTTGGACGGGCACATCTACACCGTGGGGGGGGAGGACCATGCCCGCTGTTACAGTAATGTGGAGAGGTGAGTCATTTAGCTCCACTTTGATGACTGCAGAATCACTATGAGACGCCTCAATTCGCCTGGAGACTATAAATATTGCAATTTGTCACATCCAGCCTTTGAAGCCAAGTACAGGGAAATCCATAAGCTATTAGAATGTTTAATTTTAGTTTTGATTTGTAGCTAATGAGAACTTAGAAACCGACGGCTAATTATGTTGTGTATGGATGTGTGCACACGTCTTTTTTAATATGCGTTTTGACTTGGACGAGTGAGGGGGTGGTCTGCGGAAAGGAGACTGCTGTAAATATATAATGCTAATGGGAAAAAAACAAATTTCTCTAGTGAGCAGTGCAAGTGCCTAATGAGCTACAAATTTAATTTTACGAGTGAAAGAAGAGAGGGAAGTTCTGAACAGAAAGGTGACTGCATGGTGGGAAAGACACTATACTGTAATTTTACTGTAAATATTCCGTAAATACAAGTTAAAGCTATGTGACATCTTTGTGGTTCTACATATATATAGACACCAGTTCAAATTATTATCCAATGTCTATACTTGACTACTCTTTTAGCTAATACACTAAGGCTAAGAAATCTCCTTAACCTTAACCAACCTTTCACACAGCTATAGACATTTTGTTTATTTATCAAGGCAAGGCAAGACAAGTTTATTTATAATTGATAAATATTGATAATAGTGCTGTCCAATGATTAAAATATTTATTTGCGATTAATCGCATGAATTTCATAGTTAACTCGCAATTAATCGCAAATTAGTCACACATTTGTATCTATTCTTTATGTCCCTTGAATTAATTAAAATAAAATAAAAATAAAATAAAATTAATAATAATAATAAAATAAAAAAAAATGAATGAATAAGTAGATAAATATAATAATAACATGAATAATATGTGCATATGTGCATATAATGATAATACACAAGTCAGGGTAAGCGAAAGCTTATTTTAATGCATGACACGTTTAGTTAAGAAAAACACTTGGGAAAAAGGAACAAAATAAGAGAGGGAATGGGCCGGGCGTTGGCTCCCTCCCCCCCCTTTTTGGGGTGGGGTCCTGCTTGGGGGTCTGTGTGTGTGTTGGATTTGGTTTTGATGTTGGCTGGGTTCCGCTTAGCTTGGTGAAACTCAGGCGGGCAGACTTTATATCTTATCTTATCTGTGGAGTGTGTGTGTTTATGGGTGTGTGTGTGTGTGTGTATGTGTGGGTATAGACCATAGACTGTATAGAAACATCATGGTGTCATTATGATGATTATAAACAATCTGTAAATATTTTGTAAATTTGTTCATGTAAATACTCTGCTGTTTCTCTGTTTACTTTCGGTATATCTATGACTGTATTCTGTTTGCTTGTATTGCCTTTTTTATTAACCCCTCCCCCCCATCTCCCACTTCATGTTTTTCAAATATATATTTTTTTTAATTGCGCGATAAAAAAATGACGCCGTTAATATTGATTTGCGTTAACACGTTAATAACGCGATATTTTGGACAGCACTAATTGATAAATAATCACAGAACATTAAAAAGAAAGATACAAATATAAAATCCCTCAGTTGTATGCACAGCTAGACAGAACTGTTTTTAACCTGGTTTTAAACATTGTCAGAGAGGAGGCCTGTCTCACATCTTCAGGAAGACTGTTCCAGATTTTAGCAGCCTCCCCATGTTTAGTTCTGACTCTGGGCACTAACAGGAGTCCAGTCCCTGTGCTCCTCAGAGTCCGGGCTGGTTCATATGGGACTAACATGTCACTAATATATTTTGGTGCGAGGCCATGGAGAGACTTGTACACAAGCAGAACTGTTTTAAATTCACTTTGGAGAGACCCAAGAGGGAAAATGCAGTTAGAAGTTTATTGATTGAGCATGTTTGGCGCCCCAGGCCCGGGAGAGATGCTGTTGAGCGCGGCGCTTGCTCGCGCGCATAATCCCCAAAAACGGGCAGAGTTATCTTTGCGCGCTGGGACGTGAGCGCTTGCATCACGCTCAACCAGACGCTGTAGCAGAGTTATCTTTAAGCGCCGGGACGTGAGCGCTTGCATCACGATCAACCGGACGCTGCCTGGGACGTGAGCGCTCGCATCACGATCGATACCAGACGCTGTAGCAGAGTTGTCTTTGAGCGCCGGGACGTGAGCGCTCGCATCACGATCAACCGGACGCTGCAACAGAGTTATCTTTGAGAAAGTGCGTGCCGCCACCAGAATCTTATTGGATCACTTACTTTGCTTTGTATTGCTTTGCTGGGAGCTTACGAAGAAGCCAGTAGCCGTTGTGCAGCCAGAATGGCGGACGCGTCTGGCCTGATGTAGGCGGAGAAGGCCGAAGAGGAACAGCGCCCCAGCTGTTGCAGAGAGGTGTGGGGGAGCCCCAGCGAGGCCGCGCGCGTGGCAGCGCCTATCCTGAAGGAGTGAGCTGTGTAGAGCTGGGGACACATTTGCAGAGGAGCAGTAGGGATCTTAGCTGAGCTCTGAACCAGGTTGCTGTCATGGGAAGAATGTCTGGAGTGAGAAATAGAGGTCTGTTAAAATCTCCTTTTTGCAGCGGAGGCGAGTGTAACGCATCATGGATTTGTAGGGGCAGAGAGATGTGTCCGAGCGAGCTGTTACTATATTGCAGGCTCCTTTGATTTTTGAATGTTGGAAATGAAGGTTGAAATGGTCAGGGGCCATTAAGTTGGGTGAAAAAGAGCGACCTTTGTGTAATGCTTCCACTACGTCGAGATTATCACACATGACAGAGATCCTCTTTCTCTGCCACGTGTGATTCCACAGCGCGCAGGCCACGACCACTGGGAATATTTCGTGTAGGGCAGAAGAGATGCTCCGGTGGAAAGTAGCGGCCACGGCCCGGCAAACCAATGGTCCTGGAAGAACCCCCAAAACCCACGGAAGGGGCAGCGTCCGTGTAGAAGCGGAGACCTGTAGGGGCAGAGACATATCGGAGAGGGCCATTGATGTTTGCAGGCGCCCTTACGCTTAGTATCTTGGGTTGGAGAGTAGATAATCAGGATAGTAGGATGGTCGGGAAAGCCGTGTCTCGGACCGCATGAAGGTTGAGTGAGCAGTAGTGAAACGCTTATGCAGAGAAGCCACAGAAGGCGAGCAGGAAGATGCTGCGAGGAGGGCAGACATGTACTTGGAAGATGAGCCGGAGTTCAGTGCTCTGCAGGATGGGCAGCATGATGGGGAGCCTGCGATCAGAAGAGTGAAGAACACAGGTATGGATGCGTTTGATTAGGAGTCCGATTGACGGCTCAGCGCAGCTACTTGGCCAGCTGCATCTGATAGATCAGAAGATTAAGTATAGAGATGAAGCATGACCGCCGAAGCGACCCTGGGAGCATAGGTGCGAGTCCAGCGCAGCGCGGCATACTCAGCCGGGCTGCGTCCATTAGAAGCAGGATAAGCTTCTGAGAGAGTGGGTTGCAGCAGTGGCAGCAGCAGTAACCTCAGAAATAACAGCAATAGTCCTGTATCAAGCCGCGGCAGCAGCAGCAGCAGCATCCTTAGAAAATAACAGTAATAATCCTGTATCAAAGCCACAGCAGTAGAATGTTGTTGTAGCTGTTTAGTGTTTCAGTAAAAGAGATGCAAGTGAAGAGAGATGTCAAAGTAAATGAAGCAGCAGCAGCAGTAGCAGTAGCAGTAGCAGCAGTAGTAGTATGAAGCAGCAGCAGCAGTAGCAGCAGCAGCAGTTGCAGCATCCGTAGATAATAACAGCAATAATCCTGTATCAAAGCCACAGCAGTAGAATATTGTTGTAGCTGTTTAGTGTTTCAGTAAAAGAGATGCAAAGTGAAGAGAGGTGTCAAAGTAAAAGAAGCAGCAGCAGCACGGCAGCAGTAGCAGTATGAAGCAGCAGCGGCAGCAATAGCAGCAGTAGCAGCAGCAGTAGCGGTAGCAGTATGACGCAGCAGAAGCAGCATTAGCAGGAGCAGTAGCACCACAATGCGATTCATACGAACAAACAGACGTGTCACGCCAGCGTGCGCCGCTTGTCTCCGTGAGCCAGGTTACATACGTGTCTGAAAGAGCCGAGCCGTAGAGACAGGTGCAGCCTGGGAGCCCGCGGAGCGGCAGCGGCAGGAACAGCAGCAGCGGCACATGTAGTAGCAGGAGCAGCAGGAGCAGGCAGCAGGGACAGGCAGCAGCAGGAGCGGCAGCAGGAACAGGCAGCAGCAGGAGCAGCAGCAGGAGCGGCAGCAGGAACAGGCAGCAGCAGGAGCGGCAGCAGGAACAGGCAGCAGCAGGAGCGGCAGCAGGAACAGGCATCAGTAGGAACGGCAGCAGGGACCGCAGCAGCGGCGGTCAGAGAACCATGCCCATGGTTGTTTAAGAGCCTGAGGAAATAAATCAACCCGAATCCGAAACATTCCCATGCGAATCCCTGGAGCCATCTTGCTGCTTTGGTTATGGCAGATACGCATGAACGATCACTTTTCCATGCGTTCATAGCTCCAACTCCACTTCAAACCCATTGCAGATTCACATTGGGCCCTTTTTCTTTCTGCTGCACTTTCAAAATGCAACTGCAGTTTAGTTACCCAATTTAATACTAGTGCCCTAACTATTTAAATGCATGGCCCCTCCTTCCTCCTGCAGATAGACGAATTTAAATACATTCATTTAACAATAGTGACCTGCGAGTAATGAGATTAATGCTGTAAAGATGGCGCCGTGGCAAGAGCTCTGTGTGTGCCGTCTGGAGCACGATGGGGTAGTCTTTGCACATTTTTTCCAACGTGGTTTTACTGCAAGTGGCAGAACATGAATCTGAATTAATGCACATTGCTCCTCGTATATCCCTCAGACAATAGAGATTGATGCCATTTAAGATGCATTGCCCCTCAGTTAGCTCAAACACGTGTGAAAACGGAGCCTGCAGACCAAGCACGGGGCGAAAACTGACGCCTGCAGTCAAGTGCGCAGGGCAAAAACCAGCCGCCTGCAGCCCAGAATCCGGGATTAATCCGTCCGCGGTCAGCACACTCACTGTACTCACATGCCAGGAGACTTGGGAAAAGCAACGGGACAACGCGGCACCGCCAATCGGAGGCAGGGACACGCACGGCACCGCCAGACCGTCTGCGCGCGGCAGCAGACCACGAGGAACGAGCAGCACAGGACCCGCGGAGGGGCCCCGCGGAGCAGCCCGCAGAAGAGCCCGCAGAGGAGGAGAGCAGTGGGGATATGCGAACCACAGCAGGTGCAGGGACGCAGAGGAGGAGCAGACCATGAGCAGCCAGACTGAGGACAGCCGGGCCACGCGCACGAGCAACACGTGAGCAGAAGCGACCCCTCCAGAACAACGCAGCATTTGCGAACAGGACCCAACTCCTCAGTAAGGAAAGCAGCTATTGGCTGTCCCAAAAGTCGCTAGAAGTCGCTAAATGACGTCATCGCCTAATTTGCATAATTGGCTATTTGCAAATAACTGTAACGGACGCTGTAGGAGAGAGGAATAACGTCGTGGGAGAGACAAAAGTGAGTAAAAAACACCCTAAATATGTTTAGAACTACAAATGTACACAAATAATTTCAACATTAACAACATTTAATGATTTTAATGCTTTGTCTAGATCTGTCGCTAGTCGCTTTTTTGAAAAAAAAGTCGCTATAGGGTCTGAAAAGTCGCTAAATCTAGCGACAAAGTCGCTAAGTTGGCAACACTGGAACAGGTGCGTTAGCGACATGCACCTTGCAGGCTTCAGAAGTTTGCAGACTTCAGAAGGCCGGGAAGTGGGCGTCTCCGGCTTTTAACTTGCTGTCCTGGTGGTTATTGGTGGATTGGATGTGGGCGTTTTGCTGGTGTAATGAGTAGAGGATGAGCAGGCTTGTAGCAGCGGCCGGGTCTACCACAGTGAATTTTCGCGAAGAGCTCCATGTCTAGTCTCTGAGCCACAGGAAGCCAGTGCAGAGACCTGAGGACTGGACTAATGTGGTCGTTATCCTTTACTTGGGACTACTAAACATTGGGCAATTTTTCCCATGTCTGCCATTTTAAATCTCAATATTCATATAAAATGTTATAACAATAGGAATCGGTCCATTGTTGTCCTATAAACTCATTATACTGAGTATACTTACTTAACAGGAAGCATCCTTTGTTTATGTATTTTTTTTTTTTTTTTTTTTCTTCATTATGATCGTTTTTAAGAGGTTACACATTCTAAAACTTAAAATGTAAAACCAAGACCCAACATCAATGTCCATGATACCATTGTTTGGGATGCTGAACAGTAGGGGGCAGTATATAGCGCTCACATGTTATCCCTAAGCTACACCCATAACAACAAAAACATTATATACTATGGTATTTAGTCCATGTTGGTCTTTCCCCACACTCACATAGACTATTTTCTACTCTACATTAATGTTATGATGATTTTTGATCTTCAGAAGTCCTGTGAAAGAAAATTTGTCCGTGTTCCAGTTTCCCATAAATTGTATTTACTCTTTTACCACATGCCTGCCCACTGACCCTTCTGGGAAATACTCTGTCCACAGAAATACTCCGAAAGTGGTATAATGCAGCTGACTTATTTTGGTCTTCTGGGTGAACTGGATGAAGCTTTCAGCACTCTGCTTGTTCGCTAAATTACTAATTTAATAATGATTTTCTAATTGTGCGTGTGTTGAGGAAGAGGTTTAATGCCTCAAACAGAGCAGATATCACATTGAGTTTTACATGAAGATTCTATTTTATCCTGGATTTAATGTTTTGAGGAGGCACTCTTTAGCTTGATCTAATTTTGCGGATTAAACAATTGATTGGTAGTTCTATCTCTATTAATTGTACGGAAGGTAATTACAGACGGAGATAAACCATACTATACACTTGTAAATGTACTAATGCAACACACACACATGTTGTCAATTGTGTCAAACAAATATTTATATTATGTGTTTTGTTTTTAAAGGCCACAACTAAAATAACTTGCAACATGCGGTGAAAGCCTCATTTTGTTAAAAAAGCAGTATTCATGTAGCATTTTGCATTGCCTTCAACATGTCTAATGCCTGAATGCACACATCTTTCCCTAAAATAAAATGTACTTTTGTCAATGTCAGAGTCACATAAATACCCAATGTGCTACAATTGTTTGGATTATTGCTCTAACTCCTGAATGCACATCTGCATTGACTACGTAACTACATTTCATAACTGTCTTTTTCTTTTGGCATTTATCATTTTTCTCTGTCACATCTTTAGATCAGGTTTTGGGTTTCACATTAAAATTGAGAATTCTCACAGCCAATCAGCACTCTGTATGTAAAAGATTATTTTATTTTTTTCTGTAAGATAAAGACCGCACATTGTGTTCTATTTTGTAAAGTTACTTAAACATGACTATAAACAAAATATATCTATGAAGCAAAAATGTAGATATAAATTCTAGTTGTATCCAAGTCATAGGAGAGAATAATCCATTCAATGTACAATGCAATTCTGTAATGACAAAAGCTGCAACTAAAGGTCAATAGATTGTTAAAATCATGAATAGTTACACTTTTCACTAAACTCTTCATAATTTGTGAATGTTTTATGAGGATAGAGCAGCCCTATACATAACACATACACATATACAGAATTGTGTTGCATTTATCCCTTTCCATATGGCTCTTGTTGCAGGTACAGCCCAGACACTGACAGCTGGAGCCCAGATGTAGCACCCTTGAGCAGCCCCCGCAGTGGAGTGTGTCTGCTGGAGATGGACGGTTTCCTGTACGCCATTGGAGGACACGACGGCGTCACCGCTATAAATACAGTCGAGAGGTGCCATCAATATTGCCTTGAAAGCACAAGCCAGCAGCCTCCTCTTCATATAACCTCGATATTTGCTTCACTGTTTAGGTATGATCCAAAAATGAACTCATGGAGCAAGCAAGCTGCAATGTCGACCAGACGCAGCAAAGCGGTGGCGGCAGTCCTGAACGGCAAAGTCTATGTGATGGGAGGAAATGATGGCGATATGGCAATTAACTCAGGTATAAGCCCAGAGTGTTTTCAGTATGAGTGTTGGGCGAGAGATTTCACGGTCATATTGTAGGGCAGCTTCTATTAGCACTTTATATGAGACTTTTTTATTTTATAATTTCTTTTATTGTGAACAAAACGAAAAGCAAACAACAGGTAACACACGAAAATTAAACTAATCCAACAACTAGTCTAACATATTAATAATAACTGTTCTTAGTGTAGTCCCTATTATCATTATCATAATACTTCAAAGTTTTACATTTTACAAAATAAGCGGGACTGAACAGCAACACGCTCACACAAATAAAATCCACATTAATAAAGCTAGGAACAGAAACCATAAAATAAAACGCAAAAAGAGGGGCAACCCATAATTAGATCATGCAGAACGCCACAATAATGTGATACAAGACTTTATTATAGTTAAGGATTTTAAATACTTCTAGTCCAAACATGCACCATTATGTAAAATTGTACACAAAAGAGCGACTACATGAACATTTGAAAATTTCTCTAAAAAAGGCATTGCCTGGAGCACCAAGGGACAAGAAGGGAGGCTTAGAGTTGGGCGTGGTCTGGGCTGTGATTGACAGCTCACTAGTCACACAAAAAAAAAAAACAGACAGTTGTCATTGCTGTCATTGCTGCTTAAAGCAATAGTTTACACACCAGAAAGTCTGTGAAGAGGTCAGGACCAAATTCAAATGTAGTACCACCGAAAAGTTTGAGGGGGCGCCACACAGACATTTTTAGGCTCAAAAGTGAGATTTTATCTAATTTGCACTAAAATGTCAAAAAAAATGACCAGGATATGTAGAGAGCAATACAATAAACATATTTATGCAGTTTATGAGTTAAAAAAAAGTTGATTTGGTGTTTAGTCGCTCTTTAAGGCCAGTTGCCCTTTATTCAGCCATTGTTGCCGTGTATTCTATTGATACTGGTGCAAAGAAGCCATGCATGACGTTTTTCCATATTTGTGCAGAGGCTTGTGCTAAAAATGCTAATCCTTATGTAAATCTAATTCACTTGAGATTCACATTTTAAGTAGGGCTGTCCAAAATATTGCATTATTAACGCGTTAACGCAAATCAATATTAACGGCGTCATTTTTTTTTATCGCGCGATTATTATTTTTTATTATTATTAAAAGATTTTATTGCAGACAAACACATATACAGAAAAAAAATAGAAACAAAGAAAAGGACTAGTTCAGATACATTGTAGACAGAGATTACAAACAATATGTAGTTGGAGATACAGGGGGCCAAAGAAGAAACCCAGAAGGGCAACAAGCAAACAGTATACAGTCATAGATATACCGAAAGTAAACAGAGAAACAGCATAGAGTATTTACATGAACAAATTTACAACATATTTACAGATTGTTTATCATCATCATAATGACACCATGATGTTTCTATACAGTCTATGGTCTATACCCACACATACACACACACACCCACACACACACATTGAAGGGGCTTTTTGTTACCAATTATTTATTTTGTCATCCATTTATTGATGATTTTGCATCAAATGTTAGTGTGTAATATAACACTACACATTGTTTTGAATAAAAAAAGCAATTGCACACAGCACGCAAATGTGTGACTAATTTGCGATTAATCGCGAGTTAAAGCTGCACTAACTGACTTTATTTTCGTATTCATTACAAAAATGCTATCCATGTCCATGTAGTGCATTGGGATACACGTCCTTTTGAAGAATAATTAGCGCAGATTTGTGCTGGCGTGACATTATATTTTAGATCGAGTTTTGATGAAACAAGGAAGAGAATGTGTTTCGGGTCGCAGATTGTGACCAATCACAACGGACCACTAGCCCCCACTTTCGTGAGAAATCTACAGGTCCGTTAGCATAGACGGCTAAGTTAGCACAACAAGCCGAGGAGCTAACCTGAAGCTTCGTGTCTTCATCACCGGTTACTGCTTACTTAGCGAAACAGCCATCCAAAAGAAAGTCCCATTCCTCCGCGCTTCCCGGTTCTATTGTTTTATGGTCACGCCATCCACGTGCAAATCCATGTCCATGTATTATCCATATTGGGAGACACTAGCTCCGTCCCAACAGTGAGTGTGTGTGGGGGGCGATAGCTTCGTGGGTGCGGGGAGGGGAGCAGAAAGAGAGAGGCCAGCGAGTCCGCGGCTTCAAAATCCCAAAGTCAGTTAGTGCAGCTTTAACTATGAAATTAATGCGATTAATCGCGATTAAATATTTTAATCGTTGGACAGCACTAATTTTAAGTAAAGGTATTGACTGTAAGATAAATCAATAAACAATTGCAGGGTAACAGCAAGAAACGCTCATCCCAATCTTGAACAACTAGTACAAGGACGTGTTAAAACTAATTGCAGAAATAGTTGTATGGTAAAATGTGCTGTAGTTAGTTATACTGTAGTAATTATAACTAGAACAATAGGAGCAGTTGTTATTCCTCTCATGCATTCATGTAAAATAGACAAAGCAAATTCTATCTTTTGACCTTAAATGTCTCTTTGACATTATTGTTTTGATTAGACTGTTAAACAGATTGGTTTTTCTTGCATACTCTATACACATCCATTATTGAACGGAAGGTTGCATCCTCGCAGATCTGACCAATATCTCACTAGCCTGTTTCTAAGGATATATTTATGTTCAATGCCATACACCGGAACATTCTCGGCAACGCACTGGACACAAGTGACGCACCATCCACCAGAAAAGTAACACAAAGCTCCTTTCATATCTGTCCTGTGCTGAACTCGATCCTTGAAGTCATGAACGGGTCAGTAAAATGTTAGATTTATGGGACAAGTATGCACATACAGTGACCATGGCAAAAATAAACTGGATTCACTGGAGTTACGGTGGTATGAGTTACAGACTATTTCAGTCTATGAGAAATGGCTGACGGTAAAAGTCCCATAACCGTATTTGGTCTTGTTCCAGATGTGGGAAAATATGGAGAAATTGAGGAAATCCGGCGTATCGCAGAAACACACATAATTAGATTGTGTATTCATCTGTGTGCGATAACAGAACCTTTATCTGTCCCAGTGTGGGGAAATGTCAGTGGCCCATATGTATTACTGTGTTGTGTTACTATAAACGTCTGCTTCAGCCAACCTCTATCAGAGCAGAAGTGTGTGTACAGTACATACAACTTGATGGGCTGAACAGTAGGAAAGTATAAAAATCCCCCCACACAACAAATTTTGATTTACAACACTGTACTCCAACTGTAGTCATTCACACGCTACAGATGAAACTCTGAAATTTAGAATATTGTCCAAAATATTGTCAAAAAGCTTATTTATTCCTGTAAATAAACTTAAAAAATATGAAAATTAATTAAATGCAAAGTGACATATGTCTTTCTTTGTTATACAAGAGATTATCGTTTACAGTGCATTTTCAAAATTAGGATTAGGGTTCAATTTCTATTTTTCTGATTTCTGTTTTATCTGGGTTTTTATAAAGGTGGTGAACCAATTATCAACATTATAACAAATAAAGTCTTGATACATCTCACTTTGCGTGTAGTGAGCCTATTATAGTTTAACTTGATACGTATATTTCATTTCAGATCCCGATTCATTTATTTGCCATTTGCAGTAAAACCACAGTGTAATACATTTGCAAAAGTCCCCAGTGTGCACCAGACAAGTACATAAATCAAACAAGGTAAAAAGTACAGAAAAAAACCAAAACAAAACAGTAAACTATTGACGCTGTGAAATTGAGCGACTAAAACAGTTTTAATACAAAGGCAAGATCATTAAAGTGCTCTGTTGAAACTGATAACAGCTTGGGGAAAGAAGCTATTAGCATAAGATGTCCTGCGTCTCAGCGAACGATTTGTTTTGTTTATTTGAGCATCTGTTAAAACACATCCAAGACATTCCATTCACCGAGTCGCTCAATTCTAAAAAATGATACAGTTACTGACAAGGAGTACCCTAAGAACACAATGCTCAAAAGGAGAAGGAGGACTTTAAACATTTACTTTTGAACGCTATTCTAATGCTCCAAGTCTCGGCTGTATAAACCTCAGCTAAAACGACATGTGCACAAGCAGACATGACACGCTTGCCCTTTAAACGTTCCCCAGTGGAGTGCTACGACCCGGCGGATGGTGCTTGGTCGATCTGCGCCCACATGCTGTGTCCCAGGGAGGGGGCCGGCTGCACTGTATATCTGGGACACATCTACGTGGCGGGGGGCAGAGACGAGCTCCACCTGAACCTCTGCTCCGCCGAGCGCTTCGACCCGGACACATCCAGGTGGACTCCTGTAAAACGCATGAGGAATAAACGCAACGATGTAAGATGAGAGATGCATGCTGGGCCTTTAGCGTGTGTCTATAATGTTGATACTAATAGTGATACTTATAGCTTCTGTTTGTGGCAGGTGTCGCTGGTGGTGTTCAATGGGGCGATGCTGGCTGTGGGAGGCTCAGATGGCATCACCGACTTGAAGACAATTGAAATATACTGTCATGAATCCAATACCTGGAGGTAAAACCCATTCACTCAAGTTGTTACTCCAAACATGTCCAAATATGAATCTGTCTGTCCGTCATCCATTGTATAACACATTTTATAAACAGTTTTCAAAGTGCTGCAGACAGACAGACAATATAATTCACTGCTCAATTAAATAAAAGATAGAAAGGAAAAAAAAAAAAAGAAATCATGGAGTAAGACTGAAATAACATGTTTTTTACCTATCATGAGGGTGTTTTGGGGTTTTAGCGGGGAATACATTATTATATCCATCCTGATTTGGGACATACATTATTTTAAGTACTGCAAGAAGGAAATGCTTAAAGCTGGGGTACGCAATAAATAGTTACAAGTAATAACAACCCATTTACCTATCACATCATTTGTTCTATGACATCACTAGTTTGACATGTGTCTGTAATGTTCTTAGATACTGTATGTTTTTTTTTCTGACATAAAAGTGAAAAGGAGAGGACCACCCTTAACCAGCCAATCAGCTCCCGGCCCAAAACGTAATTTAGTAACTTACAAGGCTTTTTCTCACAAATCGTCAAAAGAGAACATTCTGTCTAATAAGACCAAATGTTCTGAATATTCACAACATCACAAGAATCTTTCTGTTCGGACAACTAGCATGGATTAATAAAAACTTTGGTACCCCAGCTTTAAGGAGTACTGCAAGTTTACAAGTCTAAACTATGGGCTTTATGAGAGACAAGATATGGTGTTGCCGCAGTCCAGATCACCCAAACGATTGTAGCAAATGCAAAACCATGTCAGAAAATGACTCATCACGCAGCTATTCATTTCCTCAATAACATTCTTATATTTCATTTATATCCCAAAAAGAACCCAAGACTCATTTGCATGGTGTTTCTTTTTATCAAAGCACAGAGAGGAAGAGTGTGGAGCAGCCTGTTTCTGTGTCGCACTGTGAGAATGTCTCTGCTCAAAGAGAAACGCAGTCTCTTTTGTAACTCGCTGGAACACCGCATGAACAAAGCACCTTTTCCTTTGCCGTTTGCGCTCTAACTCAAGCAAATGCGTTTTTAATAACTTATCTGTTGTCATTTTAAACCAACGTATGTATAGCCAGACCCAGAAACGCATTCAACCTGCACTAGTAGCTCATTAGGGATGCACAGTCCACTGAGAGCTTAGAGCTACAAACATCTGCTCCAGCGACTCCTGCTGTTAAATGAATGATTATAGTCTGCGCTCAACACCTCCACCCTTTAAACTGAAGCCTTTCAAACAAAGCATATCTGTGTTTTGTGGGTTTGCATTGAACAGGAGTTGGATTTTGAATGGTCGCAGTTATTATATCTCTCATTAAATCAGAATATTCCGAATGACTGGTTAGTTTGTGTGGGGCGACAGTGGCTCAGTTGTCTTTGAACCTAATGATCATGGGTTTGATCCCCCCACGACCCATGTCATCTGCTCCCACTGATGTCTGCTGTCATTGTGTCCCTGGGCAAGACACTTAACCCCACTTTGCCTGAAGCCTGTGTCTTTGTTGACGAAGCATCCATCTTCCTGTGGAGCCACCAACTGCAGGCTGATAAGAGAGGGGCTGGTTCTGTGAGCATTGGGTGGATGAACATGAATGAATGAATGAATGTTTAGTTTGTCCACTAAGTCATTATGTATTTTGGGGCATGGATGGCTTCCAAGGTAATCTCCCTACAATAGATCAATATTAGGAACATCTGCATTTTAAGCTTGAATAATCAGTGAAGCATTCCACACGGGATCACCACATGGTCAGCTGTGTTGAGAAACGCAAGAATCAATACTCCAATTACAACAGAGGGCAGAGGAAAGAACAGTATTCATGTTTTTAATTTCTTCAAATGTGCTTTAGCGACCTGTTCTATTTATCTATACTTGCATTTAGGTGGTGTAGGTGAGCGTCTAATTCTTTTATTTTATTTTGTCTTTTGTTCTTGTGAAGCACCAGGCATCTGATGATGTTGTAAATGTGCTCTACAAATAAAGTTGACAGTGGCATTGACATTTGTACAAATAGTGTGTTCTGGGTCAACAAGATACAGCCTCAAATAATCAAACAACCAAGATATTGACTGATTTGATATAATAAAACCAATACCTGACATAACAACAGTTCCTGGAAATAAGTAGTAAGTAGTAAGTAATCTTTACCGCCTTTCACAGACCAGAGTCACAAAGTGGTTTACAATTGTGGGCATTTGTCCTCTCACTCCAGACCTATTGTACATGTTTTTAGTGGTAGTGGAAACAGAGGAAACCCGAGCACCCGGAGGAAACCTACACATGCAAACGCCACTCAGAAAGGCCCTATTCTGACCTAAACTGGTATACCTGGCCATACTTGCCCATCAGATCTCTGAAGCTGTGCAGGGCAGCGCCTGGTTAGAACTGTGATGCGAGACCTCTGAACGTACCAGGTGCCACAGTGGGGCTGCCAAACTGTGCCATCATTGTGTCCTTAGACAAGGCAGACACACACCAGGCAGATGAGTCTGGCAGGGCAGTTGTGGCTACGGTGGTAGTTTACCACCACTGTGTTTGGAGTGAAAGAATAATGACATATAAAGCATCTTTGAGTCTCCTCAAAAGCTTCTATATTATTATTATTATTGTTGTTGTTGATGTTGTTATTGATATTGCTATAATTATTATCATCATTACATTTGTTGTGGAATGGGAGTATCTTTAGTACTTGAGCAAAATGACGACTGGAGCTCTTCCTTCAGGTGTCTGTCGGCTTTAACCTCGGCTGCCTGTGGCTCTGCATCAGCGACTAACTGCAGCTAGAGCCTTTCATGTACAGTAATTGCAATCTCATTACATTGAAAAGTGACATCACCATAATTAATGCCAGAACCGGCCACAGTCTGTCAAAAGAATAAGAATAATAAACGACTGAGAGACTTTAAATGAAGTCTGTCTGTTGCTGGTGGACAGACAGATGCAACCACTTGATGATTCATGCACTCAGCTGCTGATGCTCCATACATTTGATAGCTTAAGGCGGCCTCCTGTCTGACACTGCTGTTCTTTTTTGTCTGTTTTTAGACACTTTGGAAGCATGAAGAGAAAGCATCCAGGAGGCAGAGTGGTCGTGATGTGCTGAGAGCCTTCTCTGGTTATAATATATGAGCGGATACAAACGTAAAAGAGGCTAATGGGCCCAACAACATGGCTGAATAATGCAAGAGTTCACAGGGAAAGGAGACACGTTTCAGAGCTCACAACATGACAGCTTTCAATTAAGGCAGAGCAGAAGTTTTGCATAAACATGTGGCTGTTACTGTTGTCTGATGTATTTGTTGTATTAGAGTCCTTTTATTGCCTGTTGTAGTTTTCTAAATGTGTATACTATAGCCACTTTTACATAGAACTTTAAAACAATTGAGGTGACAGCTATGAAACAAAATATTAGATGTACATATAAATAATAGTATTCATAGTAATAATAATTGAGACAAGATGGAAAGATGCTGACATAAGTTTGTGCACAGTTTTAAGAGAAATGGTTTGAAGCACAGAGGGTTTTGCAAGTGTAAAGAGACAAAGATTCAATAAAGTGGAAATGTTATTCTCTTGATCTTATTTTGTCACATCACTGTTGTTGTGCAGTTGCACTTGATCTCAGAAATAATCACAGTCGGAGAAGACTCGGTAAAAATAACACATTTGCAGCAGGATCACACAGAGCAGAGGAAGTCTGTGGGAATGGAGACTGCACTGACTTCGACGGATGATGTGACTGCGCTGCGAGCCTGGGAAACCATACAAGTGTTTGTGTGGGTTTTAAGTGATGACGCTCAACTCGTCCCCCTGAGGAGTAATGGGCTGAAACATGGAGAGACTGCGCGCAGCCTGCACACATCGACTCGGCTTTAGTGGCGACACAGGACCACTGTGTGCACCATGAATATCTACTTTAATCGAAGAGGCGGATTTGCCAGGCAAATAGGAGAAGAAAGACCTTCCACAGGTAGCGGACTTTTCTCATATTAAGTCATGCTTTCTTTACGCGGTTATGCTAAATCAATAAGAGCCATTGCTTTTAGAATATAGCTGTTTCATAATGAAAAAAATGAACAAATACATTTTTAAAAATCGCCGCAATAATTGCTTATAGCATTGTATCAATTTACAATGCTAACATGAGCTAAACATATTCTCTATAACTCCATTATATTAGTACAGTGTCTCCCAAAGTGGGGTCCGCGGCCCCCTGGTGGGCCGCGAGGGTACTGCAGGGGGGCCGCGGGAGGTCATAAAAAAAATAATAATAATAATATAATGATTTAATGTTACATTTATAATGTTTTGTTTGTAATATTAATGTGTGTGTATGTGTTCATTATTTGACTTGAATAATCCACTGTAATCATTTTTGTATTACAATGTTTGTAGCAGAGGCTATTTCCCCAAAATAAAATAACCAGAAGAGCCTATTCTTAATGTTGTCTTCTTGGTCATTATTTTGGGGGGCCACGCAGACCCGTCAGATTTTTAAGGGGGCCTCGGCGTTACTGAGTTTGGGAATGGCTGTATTAGTACATACAGTAAGCTGTTTAGAGTAGAGTTGATCTTACCGCGTTTATCACTGTAATATTCAAAACAGCTTAGATTTGAGTCTGTTACATTTCCCATCCATGTATTCCTCTAAAATTCCCTTTTGCTCGGTCAACAATTTTTACAAAAAAAAACACACACTTCCCTGCAAGTTTGCCCAGCGCCACACATTCTGCACGGCTGGCTGTTACAAGGTTGCCCGGTAGGTGGCGCGTCGCTGAAGTGCGCGTGTGAGAGCGGTGAGAGCCCCCTCCTTCTGCTCTGCACAGGGGGAAGGGGGGATGCTGCTGATGCTGGCGGAAAAAGCATGGAGATCACATAAACACAGGGCGATACAGGACATCCCCCTCTCATGTACGCAACAGAGAGGACACTCACCTACACTCGCGGAAGACGTGAAGATACGCAGACCGGATGGCGCAAGGACATTCAGACTGAGAACATCTGGACACGCTATATCCCCATCCCCTGTACAGCTGCGTGCTACAGACATGAAGTTTAGCGCCTTTCTTGCGTCTAACAATGCACTTCGTCAAACTAGTGCCCCTGCTGCAAAGTGCGTGTCTCTTTTGCGCATTGATCTGAGGTAACTTGTAGTTCTGCTTACTATGCGAGTCAACCAATCAACGGACTTCTCCTAAAACCTATGCATATGCTTATGATTTATTCAGTCGTGCTTTCTGTCAATCACTTTTTTAACCTAATTAGGCGCCAAAGGACCTGCTATGCATTGACTGGATTTGACGGCTCTAGTCGAGTGGACCAATTGCCTACTGACTTTTCTACACTCGTAATTACTTATTCCCTATCGATGTCTGAGGGACAGTCTGTCAGACAGTATCATCTGTGCTGTGTGGACCATGCCTGGAGTAAACCTGTGGTGTGCTTACTATAGAGCACTAACAGGAACATTGCAGGTAATAAGTTTGTACTTTTGTCCCAGTGTGTGTGTGTCTGTTGCGTTGCATTGCATGTGATTTCACTAATAACACACTTTTAAAGCTGTTTCTAGCAATGAACTTGTGTGGGCTGCAGCCAAGCTCTATTTTTAGCATTTTTCTTATCCTCATTCGTTGCTCCTACTTTTTTCTTTTTACATTACCCAGTGGTAATGACATGGGATGCTGGCAGAAAACTCTTCCCAGAACCCCCTGCCTCTGCCTCTGCACTTTTAGGGCCATTAGGTGTGTGTTCAAATGGCCATGAACTATTTTTTACAGCGGGATTAGCTACATAACTTTGAATAAACTAAACCCTGTTGGTGATCCCAGTTATTGTTGCATTAGTCATATATTGCTACTCATATATTGTTCTGTCGACCGTCTATTGCTTCTGACGCCATTTCTGTGTGTTAATCAGACAGAGCAGACAGTGAGTGCTATTAAGCCCACTCAAGTCTACTATTCCCACCACGCAAATATGCTGCTCTTTGTGACCACATGTTTTTTTGGTCTCTTCTCTGTGCTTTTCGCATAACAGAAGTGCAGTTTAATGGAGCAAAAACATAGCCTGTATTTTGATTCTTCTCGGATTTATGTCACGTATTTAACTGTGTGCTTTTTCTGTTCTTATCCTACATGACCCCCGCAAGAGGCAGTGATGAGCCCCCCGCGGCGGCCATCGAGTTCCCACGGTGACAGGTGATTATATGAAGCACTTCATTTACCGCTTTTGTATAACACATGGTCTTGAAAAAGCTTTGAAAATCACCCTTTAAAACAAAGCTGAGATATACCTTTATTTAAAACCATAAAAAATATCCATGCATTAAAATCCATCTTGCTCTGGAAACATCACTGGTTTTCAGGTGAATGTATTCTGGCCTCTGTCACATCTTTAGATTGGCTTTTTCAGATAAAAGTGAAAGTAAAATACAGAGGACCACCCACACTCAACTAATCAGCTTCCGCCCCAAAGCTTTAGATAGTGAATCACAGGGCTCTAGCTTTTGCAAGATTATTCCTGTTGAGACAAACAAATATATTATTCATGAAAGCAACTAAAATAGGTAGCCCTGCTTTTAGTTCTTTTATCTAGGGCTGCTCTGACCCACCAAACATAAATCCCAGCAACTAAAGATCTGCAATGCTAATAAAAGCTAAGTTTGTAATGTCTAACTGTGTGTTTGATTAAAGATCCTAATCTAACTTAATAACTTATAATTAAATTGCTGCCAGTATAAGATAAACATGTGCATTTATTGGCTCCTAAAAATCATAGCTTATTCTGTAATTTAATGAACTAAGTAAATGTAGTATTTATTGTAAAACCAGATGAAGAATACGAATGCAGAGCGAACTGGGTTAATAATAGATTATGATCATTTTAATCTGAAGTACAGTGGTCCCTCACTAAACGCTGTTTCACCGATTTTTGTTTGCAATATTGTCTGCCTTCTTTACAGTGTGTCACATCAATCAATCAATCCATTTTTATTATGAAGCGCTTTCCATACCTTGCGTAAAACACTTACCAGTTACTTTCATTTAAAGTCTGAACAATATGTTTATGGATTGTGTGCGCTGCGGTGATTACTTCAGAGGACTTCCGCACTCTTCTCGTAACCCTCAGTGCAGTGTCCTCTGCAGCTGTAATTTAGAGTGTATGCACAGCTTTTGACAGCTGCAGCAGCTCTCAGACCTACAATGAACAGGTTTGTTTGCACTTCAGCAGTCGTGAGTTCAGGTGGTCAGAAAAGTGTATACAGTGTTTGGTGAGGGGTTTTACAGCCTTAAAACATAAAGCTGCTACTTTGCAGATTTCACTTTAAAACATATACAGTACCTGCGACTTTGCAGATTTCCCCTATGGCCGGATATTTTTAGAAAGTAACCGCTGCAATACCGAGGGGTCCAATGTTATTTCTTTACCTTGACTGTTACACAAAACAACAAGGGCGTTTCAACAGAACAAGTCCCACGTCTTTCTCTTAATGGCCAAACAGCTCTTAACACACAAACAAGGATAGAATGTTCCTTTCTAGCATGATGTTATGAATATTTTACATTGCAGGTCAAATGTATGTAAATTAGTCATTATTTTTGCACAAACTCAAACACAAATAAAGCTGAGAGTGGTGTTGTGCTCCACAGGATGTCTTCGGAGAGCATGCAGAGGAACAACAGCAGTAACTCTGGTGTAATCCTGGACATCTCTGCTCTGAAGATGGCTGAGGTGGAGACTGAGGTGCCTCCTCTTCCTCCGCGGTACCGCTTCAGGGACCTGCTTCTGGGAGATCAGTCCTTTCAGAACGATGACAGGTAGCTGGGGACAGCACTGTAAATTATGTGATGCGCATTTTTTTCTCTCCCAGTTTTCTCCATTTGCTCCTGCATTTGACATACATATTTCTATTGAGCCATAGACGTTATGCTTGGTTGGGAGACTGTCCTATTTCAGTTTTCAATCATATGAAATTTGTTCGTGTGAAACAGTCACACAAAGTTGTGCAGCTGCATGGATTTTGTTTCTGCACCAGAGTTATTTTGAAATGTATGATATTTGTTGGAATTGGCAAAGAACAAAGGAGGTTGCCACTAAGAGCTGGATTGTTACAGTTCAGCATCAGTTCTGTTTTGGTTTTAATACAAAGATACTTTTTTGAAATACCCTGCAATTTCAAATCAGTCATTGGAAAACTTCAAGAAAATCAGCAACAGTAAAGCCATATATCAGCCGATTTACTGTGACTTCACTGCTATAATTATCCACTATCTGTGAGATACATCAAGCACTGAAGAAAGTAGATCAAGACTATATTCTTATGAGAATGTATCATCTTACAGAAGCCAAGATTAAATTTTTTTTTTATTTTGGATCCCTTTAGAGGGCGGCATGGTTTCATTTGCATGAAAAGATTGTTTAACTTAACTTAAATGGAACCAAAACCAAATTACTATTTTCACTCCTAGTCACCAGCAATTAGAGGTTTCTAGATATCAAATTCAATCCTCCAAAACATGTTTTGCTAATTTCCCCCTGAAGCACAATTAATCTAAAACCTCTTTGCAAAATTGTAACTTATTTATCTCTCCTTTGCAAAAATATGTTGTTTTGTATGAAGCTGAAATGAAACTATCCCTTGGCCTCTGAATGACTCAGATCTCCACTTTCATTATTGCTTTGGTTGGAGGCTCACATGCTGTTGATTACCCATGAGTGCTGAATTAGAGGCGCATCAGCGTGAGTTGCGTGGAGGGGAGCTCTCCGTGGTGCTGAAAAGTCATCGCACAGGAGAAGCTGCGGTCTTTCTATTATTGCCTTTCCGTTTACAAATGGCAAATGTCATTTTTCTTTCCCCAATGCCCTGTATATCACTTCAGCTGCATCACTGTGTACATTTTCCTTGCTCTTGTTTTCCAAGGTTTCTGTAATTGCTTTCCACAGCCAAGCAAGGCGTGTAATTCATATCTATGTTGTTTTTATAATTCAGTGTGGGATTGAAAAAATAGGCATATTCAGTGCATTTGCTGTGATTTCTCCCCAAGCCCGTATTATCTCTGCCACCCAGGCTTTATAGTTGTCAACCGCTGCCCCAAGTCGATAACCTTGTGTGGATGTCTTTTGTCTCTTGACCGCTGGCCTTTTGTTTTCTGATCATGCCGTGTTGAACTGTCCCCGCCCTCACTGATTTAGCACAGAACATTATGAGCCTGCTCTACAAATATTGACACAGGAGATATTCAAAACCCTATGTAAACAATGGTTATATTACACACTGAGTGCAAAACATTTTCTTCACGTCCATTCTAATGTAAGCTGATTTGTTTTTGTGTGACAGTGCTTCATCTGCGTGCTCCCTCGGGAAACATATGGAGGATTACTATTCAATTACAAAAGCTAATGAGGGCTTGTTGCCTGACTACAAATCTAACTATTGAAAACATTGAAAACATTACTGCCAGGAAATATTACACAGGCACTATTTCTTTGTCTCAGATTGTATGTTATTACTTACTACATCTAGATCACGACAAAATGAAAATTGAACTTCAACTTTGATTCTGATGAAAAGGGATATTTTTGAAATGTATCTTTTTCTTGGACAATAAGCTGTCATTTGTAACATAGATATTCAGTACATTATAGTGCTTATATTATTTTACTAGTTCAAACTGCTCTCACATTTTGTTCTGTTATGTCTTTTCGCCTGTAGGTTACTTTTTCAAATGTTCTATACTTTCATTACTCATTTTAGTATTGATTCAAATAAAATGTTCTATTCTTTGACAGCCCTACTATTCAGTTTATCTGAAAAAAGAAAGATATGATAATAAGGTAATTCTGAAACAGTTCAATATTCCAACAGTATAGATAGATACTTTATTGATCCCCGTAGGAGAAATTCAGGTGTCCAGTAGCAGCAGAAACACATCCATCCAACACCAAAACAAATACAAACATAATTCTAGATGTAGCTAACAATAATAATAATGGCATGGTGTGGATTTTGTCACCTGATGACAAATACAATGCATTTATAATGGCTGAATAGAATAGTCTTGGTCTAAATTACCTCACACTCACTCAAATATGTATTATTATATGTTGTAGCCTTTAAAACACTCTAAGATTCAAGATTCACTTTTTTTGCCTTATGCTGCAAAATCTCATAATAATAGTAATGATAAAACTGTATAAGACAGTGTGCACCAGAATAGTACATTCCAGAGCTCTTGCCACGGTGCCATGATCTCGGTGCAATGTTGAGATTGAGATTTGAGATTGTAGAAATTATTGACCCAAATTTACATTACAATTTGGTAATGCTTCCGAATACTGCTGCTGATTAAATAGTAACCGTAAAGCGCTTTGTTACTGGGGCCAAATATAGCTTTGTGATAATCTTAGCTCTGGGCTTTGTCAATGTTTTCGGATGGTCAGTCAGCACAATGCTCTGTGTGGTGCTGATTATTGCCTGAGATTCCATTTTGCACAGTGGAAAGCTTCAAAACAAATGAACCCCCAGAGGGACAGTCTCCAACTTCTTCAGGCTCATGGCGCTCTTCATCTGCTTCCCTGCATCTGTCGTATTGCACTATGAGACATGTGGTCATTGCCTTTAGGAAGCAATATCTCTAAGTGTACAGTAGAAACAGTCTCTTGGCAAGAAAGGAGTACTGTATAAACTACTCAAGGTAATATGTGGAAAAAGTAAGAAAACAATTCTGATTCTGTTTCATTACTTCTCAACTCCATGTGGATATTATGCTGGTGAAGATAATGAGAGTATCTTATGTTCAGGTTTTGCCAGCTCCTTTATTGTGCATAGACGGGCTACTTCAGTTGTTAGTTTTTACCATGGGACAGAGTTGGAGAAAAAAAACCAGATTGTACAATAATATGAGTGGTTGTCTAAGGTCTTATCTTGCAGGTTCTGACTTACAATGTTGTTATCTTCAGACTTCAATATTTCTTCATTGCATATAAAATACAGTTTTAGTGCATTTAGATTGAGGCACGTATACATTATGTCCGGCCACTGTTAAGTATTGAGATTCTGAGCTGATCCCAATAATGATTTGTGGGGGGGAGTGATACACATCTTCCAATATCCTACATTAGTATGCAGGAATCTGTTGATAATGAAACTTGCCATAAAAATTGCGACTGTGATTAATGGATGAAAAACTACTGGGTGAATCCACAGGAAAAAATCACAGTTTAAAAAGATGGAGGAACATGAATATCTGAATAGCAAAGCAGTTCGCAGGATCAAAAAACATTGCTCCTGTCAATGTTTATGGTCACTCACCACAAACTGGAAATGTCCAGGGCTGAGTCTTTCGTCTGACAAAATGGGGACTGACAAAAATATTGAGGGAAGCAACTTAACTGTGTGGCTCAATTTTCTTCAATCATAAAAAAAAAACAAGTTTGGCATCTTTACTGACATCTGACCTGTATCAAAAGTGCCATTACATTACTGCTGTAAGAGACCTAAAAGGATATGAGATTCGAAAGTATAGGATGGAACCGACAAAGAAATTATTACAGAATATGATGGACCAGTTGTATCAATGATGCAACAACACATTCCTCAACTGTGTTAAGAAAATGTGTTGTTTTTAGCAAGGTAATTATTCTTATCACTGTCTACAAAGTCAAAATATATTATTAAAAAATATATTATAAATGCTACGAATGTTCTGTACATACCAGATATTGTTATACAGTAGTCACATGGCTCACCCAAGCCCTATGTCATAATAAGTTACTGTCAGTGTGTATTCATAGTATTGCACTTGATTACTACTGGATTGCGTATCAGTACGCAAATCCAGTTGTTTTTTTTTACAGCTCCTTTACCTCCAGACACAAGCAATAAAGCCACACAAACCGAACTGGCAGACTGACAAAACGTTCTAAATCCTTTTATTAATGGAGGCAAAGCAACTACCCTGGAATAAGTAATTGCTCCTTCCTGCATATTGATTTTTTTATTGCTATTCTTGTGTACTGCACAAACTGCTAACTCTGAGCACGCCTATGTTATGACCTTCAAATCCAGCATTTGCATTTCAGGAGCTGGAGGGGAGGCAGACACATCTTTACACTGATTCAAATTTGACAACAGTCATTTGACCAATTAAGCACAGTAGTGAATGGGGCAGACTGACAAAAAAGCGAGACCATCATTCTGTGCCATTGGCCCCTCTGTGGGTGAAGTGTCTTGCCTAAGGACACAATGACAGTTTGACATTTCAGCAACGCAGCATCCCACTGTGGCTCCTGAAGTCTCCCATCACAGTAATAACCAGGCAGGTGGTGTCACAATAGTGCCAATTTTTTGTTGTTTTATTCTATTCAACGAACTCCTTCTTGCACCGTGTTTGGCTGAACTACTGTTTAGTATTTTCAGTTTATTTTCTATGTTTTTTAATCCGGTGCTCATGGATAATGTGCGAGCTATTACTGACAGAATCTGAAAGAAGAGCTTACAATTATCCGTGCGTGTTTTGCCTGTGCAGCCTTTATCTCTGCTTGTTTTGTGCACTTGTGGGCCAATGATCCAGGGGGCCGTGTTTGTATAGAGGGGGGGTCTTTCCTCCCCCTGAAGTTCTCATTATCTCCTGAGCCGAGTGTCAGGGCTGTAATCACTGCCTGGCCATGTGTGTGGGCTGAAGAGGAGCCATCGCACTCCAGTCACGGGCCTGACAAGAACTCGGTGTATTACGTGTGTGTGTGTGTGTGTGTGTGTGCGTGTGTGTTTATACATATCTGTGAGTCTGTCATTGATGTATTAAATAATCTGAATAGGGTGT